TCCAGTTATATTCTGTGTATCTAGGAAAGAATCCAGGCATTTTTTAAAGCAATCCACTGAGCTGGCCAGAACCAACTCTTGAGGCAGTCTATTCCACATTTGCACAGCTCTTACTGTGAAGAAACCTTTCCGTATTTGGAGATTACATATGTAAAAAGTTCCCCCTTGTCCTCTGTGATAACCTCGGGGTGAATACCTCTACACTGAGTCCACTGTATGAACCACTGATGTATTTATACATGTTAATCATATCCCCTCCTTAATCTCCTCTTCTCAAGAGAGAATAAATTCAGTTCCTCTTTCCTCATAGCTGAGCTCCTCCATGCCTCTTATCAGTTTGGTTGCCCTTCTCTGTACTTTCTCCAGTTCCCCAATGTTCTTTATGTGATTTGGTGCCCAAAATTGAACTGCATTTTCCAGATGAGGTCTTACTAATGATTTGTACAGGGATAATATGATATCTCTCTCTCTGGAGTCTATACTTCTTTTAATACAAGAGAGGATTTTGCTCGCTTTAGAAACTGCAGCTTGGCGTTGCATGCCATTATTAAGCTTATGATCTACCAGAACTCCCAGATCCCTCTCCACCATTGATTCCCCCACTTGTACCCCCCTAGTATGTATGATGCATGCATATTCTTAGCCCGCAAGTGCATAACCTTACATTTATCAACATTAAACCTCATTTGCTATATAGTTGCCCAATTAAACAGTGCATTGAGGTCAGCTTGTAAATTGGAGACATCCTGTATGGACGTTATTCCATTGCACAGATTTGCCATCAGTTCTTGTCCTGCTGAAAACAATTTCACTAGGCAAGGAGTGAAGAAAAATATACAACAGAGACATGAACAGAAATAAAAATCTGATCGGGTTTTAGTTCTACTGTACTTAATATATTTTTATTTCTGTTATCTGAGTTGTTGGAGAGTCCCTTCACTTTCTTTATTATGAGTTGCTGTCTTCAGGACAGGACATGAAAGTAAATCTCTCTAACAGAGCCCCAGACAGTAGTAAAAACCCAACAGCAGTTTAACTCTTTCTGAAAAATGTAAAAAAAAGGTTTGAGGTGGACATACACTTTAAATGAATCAGCAGCCCAATCTGTACACTTTAAATGAAGCAGCAGTCCAATCTGTCTCATACTCTGAATTACACCAGTTGGTTTACCTTAAGCCAAAGATTCTCAACCAGGGTGCTATTTGGGTTTCCCTGGGGGGCCGCAAGCAAATGACCCAGTTTGCCCTGACTCAGTTTCACGAGTTGTCATGGTGTAGGTGGGTTGCTCCAGCAACATACAAGCAAATAATGCTCTAGGGTAGGACACACAACGTCATTTGTTCTTATGGTATTAGTGGCATATCCACACCATGGTATTGCAGGAGGTTGATCCAGGGCAGGCAGCATGCAGGACCACTCCCGGAATTCAACAGAAGACCAGAGTCCACCTTCTCCAGTCCTGCTCCACCTTCCACTCTATGTCTCACTGCTGGAGACAAAAGATAGAGCTCTAATATGAAGAGGTGACTGTGTGATTTGGGGGGGGGGGGGGGGGGGCTCAAGTTTCCCATTGATAAGAAACATCTATGTTTGTTTACATTTTAGACTGGAGTGCCTTGAAATTTTGCATACTTTCATAGAATACTGCCACTAAACAAATTGGAGAACACTGCCTTAGGCTCCATGTACACAAGCCTACCCTGACTGCGGGAAAGAGGAAATCGCGGCAAAACGTGGTATTGTGATTTTGCCGCGTTTTGAGTTGTCGGTCAAATCGTTCCTATCCTGAACGTGATTCTTCTGCATTCAGGAGAGGAAGGTTTAACCTCACCTAAACGCAGCAGCTTCTAAACTCTGCTAAAAGCCTATGTGTACATGGACACATAGACTTCTATGTAGTTGAGTTTAGGAGCCTTGGCAAAAAAATGCCAAAAGCACCTAAACTCAAGTTTAGGAGCTGCTCGTGTATATGAAGCCTTAAATTGCCAGCATTTTGAAATAAATGAGAAAATCAAAGTGGATCTCCAGTAGGAGAGCATTTCAGCTTAAAATTATTCTTATGCTGAAAAGAAATTGCATTACCAAATGAAAAAGGGAAACCTTTAAATACTAAAATGATTGGTACACTAGAACAGTGTTTTTCAACCTTTTTTAAGTCAAGGCACCCTTTTAGAATCATGTACAATCCCGAGGCACACTAGTCTGAGGGCTCGTTCACACCAGGAGCTGCATCTGAGCGCACATGCTTTGAGTGTTCCCACACATTTTCTTAATAAAAATGCTCTATGTGTGTGAAACATGCAAAAGGGTGCAGGCATGATTTTTAAAACTGCTCAACACCAAAACACATTGTACTATGGCGTAAACATACATGCATTACCTAGATGCAGGGGGTGTCTTAGAATTAGTGGCACCCACAAGCATCTGCAAAAGGCAGCACATTTTTGTGCGGTAAGGCAAAATGTGATTTCACACCTGTTACCGCACTGCACCAGTGAACAAGCCCTATGTACTCTGTGAGGCAGAGTTCAGTGGTCTGTAGGTTGGAAACCCCCAACCCCCTTCCAGTCCCCCCTCTTAGAACAAGTCCACCCTCTTAGCACAAATCCCCCCCCCCACCCCAATTCCACCTTCTAGCACTACCATCCCAAATCCCCCCCTCCTAGCACAACCCTCCTAAAATTCCCCCTCATAGCCCAACCCCCCCCCCCCCCCAAATTGCCCTCCTAGCACAACCCCTCAACTGGCTCCCAAACCCCCTCTATCTAGCAGAAATTCTGAAATTCTATTCCCTACAGTAGTGACAGCAGCAGAGAGGAGAAGAGAACCAGGAAGCGTGTAGATTGTGCTCTCTCCCCCCCTCAGCCGCTCTCTCTCCTTCCTGTACATTCAGAATGATCCTCCACTAACTCCTGTGCTACAGGAGGGAAAAAGCACTGTGTGCACAAGAGGCTCCTCTCTGAACTCTTGCTGGCAAGTCCTTAGCAACCGAAGCGGGCAGGTGGCCAGCTCTGCTTTCAGTTTTACCGGCAAGAATAGAGAGAGCAGCAGAGAGCAGGGGGAGGTAAAAGCTTAGCTCTCTGCCTCCTCTATACTCAGGATTTAGTGCTCTCTCCCTCCTGAAGCACAAGAACTATTAGAGGATCGCTCTGCTCAGGCTGTTGTCACAGTACCCCTATGGACTCCTCACGGCACCCCAGTTGAGAAACACTGCGCTAGAGCAATGTAGTGATTTATGCCACCTTGTGTAAACTAAGCAGTTTTGTTGTCTATAAGATCAAGCTTTGTGACTTCCTTTACACATCATCTTTAATCATATTATTTTAATTTATTTTTTTTAATCTGTATACAATGCGTTTGCTCAGAATCTGTACAATTTTTTACTCTGCCACTTCAGATTTTATTTGTCAATATTTCTGAAGCAGAAGACTAGTTTTCCAAAAGCTTGCATTTTTAATACTTTTATCTAGCCAATAAAAGATATAACGTTGACAACGCTTTTTGCCTTCTTGTCTTGTCCACTACATCCTATTTCTAAAACTTAACCCAACTCAAATTCTTTTGCTGATGACACTATCGTGATGAAAACGCTATTTATTTGATCCTAGTTATTATGATTTCAGATCCTAGATTATGTTTCAAAAACATCTAAGTTGTAGTAGATCAACAATGCAAATGTTGACAAGGACATGATATGTGCCAAATGATAGGCACTGGAATCCTGCACTGAACACAACCATTCCAGGGCAGTCTGTGAGATTCGTGTAATAGCAATAAGAACTTGAAATAGTGAGAATGAATGGGTCAAAAGCAGGAGCAGAGGCTGTCCAGCAAAACTCGATAAAATTTGGTCGACTTGGTTGGGTTCCTCACAAATCACTTGTTACTACAAGTAAAAGACAATCCCAAATTTTGGGTTGTCCCCAGACAAGTGGGAAATCTTCTATTGTGGACACTAGTTCTGGTGACCTGGGGGTCACCAAGAGATTCCTTTTATTTGCAGTGATTTTCTCTCACTTCCTGTTTTGGCTATGGGACAGGAAGTGAAGGCAAATCAAAGAGGGCAAAAATAAATCTTACAGGGGTTATAACCCCTCCCTTACTCCAACCAAAATGGAAAAAACGTTTTGCCTATAGTTTTATTTTATGTATAGATATAGCAGTTGAGTATAGATTGTGCACCTTTTAAGTGTATTTTGAAAAACAGAATTTGGCAGACCAAAAATAGAATGGATGAGGAGGTTGCACAAAACAAATTATCAACCCTTTACTCCTTTTCACCACAAAATAGAAAATTCTTCTTTCCATATTAAAGTATAACTAAAAGGCAAAACTCTTTATTTTAGTTTTGGATAGAGTGGAGAGGGTCAGTTTTTATTGCTGTCTGTGCCCCCATTAAGGAGATTCACCATCGCTTTTTGTCCTGTTCAACATTATCATTAAAAGTAAAAGAAAATCCCAAATTTTGGGTTGTTCCCAGAAAAGTGATAGCGGGATAATCTTCCAATGGGGACATTAGTTCTGGTGACCTAGAGGTTCCCAAGGAATTCCCTTAATTTACTGGGATTTCCTCTTACTTCCTGTTTGGCTATGGGACAGGAAGCAAAGGGAAATCTCTGCAATGGGACACAAATGGCAAAAAAAAAAATATGACAGGGGTAATAACCCTCCCTTGTTCTATCTAAAATGAAAAGAAAAAGTTTTGTCTATAGTTCTACCTCAATGTGGCCCTACATTACAACAGATGAGAATAGACGGCTTCCAACTTAAGCTTAATTAAAACAGTTTTGACTATACATTACATTTTTGTTTATAACAAAACAAAAAAAAAAAAACTATTTATCATGAGACTATACTTTCATTTACCCTATAGTTTTGCTTCTCTACCCCTATCAACATGTGAACATTTACGCATATATCTTAGGTATGTTAACATAATGGGGAAAAAAAACACACATACAAAATATCAAGTAACTGTATTAAAAAATTAGATTACTCACCTCTGATTTAATTTTATTATCTCCAAAACACAGGTGCTGCAGATAGGCAGCTGCATTTGACTGAACAGAAGGGAACTGATGCTGCAACATTTGTATTACCTCCGGAAGCTCTGGATCTCGCCAACCAAACTCTCTAAAAAGAATATACATACAATTATGTTACTATATCCATTATGCCTATTTGTTTGCAAAACATTGACATAAATACTGATCAACCAATGTATGTTGCATAACAGGAAATTAGGAATTTTTGGTTTACCTGTACAATGCTTTTCTTGGAGTACATCACAGGCAACAGCGGAGTTAATAGTCATTACGACCTTATGTCAATGAGACATAACCCCTCCCAGCTCAAATAAACCTCAGTTTTGTAGCAAATGATGAGGAACTGAGCCAGAGAGGGGTGATCCCTGTGTCCTATGATATATTCCAAGAAAAGATTCTACTAGTAACCAAAAATCCTAATTTCTTAATCATTAATTACAGAAAATAGTTATTAGTTACTATATGAAATGTCCCACAGCAATGAATGTGAACCTGCTTATGAAAGGAACTCCTCTTGGACTCTGAAAGCGTTACTGGCTTCTTATCTAACTTTTGCCTTCTTCTTAAGAGGTAAGAGAGTACTCTTCTCCACAATAACCTTCTGATTTAGACTTCCAAGGATGGTCTGAATAAGCATCTGCCCTCAAAGGACAGTCTCTCAATAAGCTCCTTATAGAGAAGTTCCACCAACCAACATTTAAGCCATAGGATCTTTCTCATGTGGACAATGTTCACCCATGAAAGCTGCCTTATAAAAGCCTCCAAGGAACCTACTGAAAATCTCAGGGTTTTTGGAAAAACTTCCAGTAGTTGCTAAATGGCAGGATGTTCTGAATCAGATTCTCTGGAAAAGATCATCTGTTTGCCCAGACCTTAAGGGCTTGGAGCATTCCTACAGCAGCAACTAGAAGCTGGAGAGCTGCTCCCACCAGAGACTAATGTCCTAAAGAGGGCATCCAACCTCTAATCTGTGGTGCCCTTATAAACATCATTCACCAGGACCATCGGTGACTAAATAGGAAAAAGTTGGGTCAACAGCCAGCAAACTCCATTTCTTGTATAACTGTTTTCCCATGGTGTATAGGTAAGTAAACCAAGAAAGCACCTTCTTCAGGTGAGCCCAATAAGCATACACCGCTTTTTGCAAGTAAGGGTGCAATGGAAAGGACTTTTTTCACACCTGCCACGACCCAAAACAAGGGATTTCAGGTGAAGAAGATTCAGATAATAGCAACCTAATGTGACACATCTACAATATCTATATTCCCCTCTTCTTTCTGTCCAGTGGCTAATATAATGTACCCTAAATGGTCATTATACCAAGGAAATGTAAATTTGGTGCAGCCTGATTGGAGGCTCCTGTTTACAATCCATGGGAGATATGATAAGGAAAAACAATGGCCAGGCCTTTGGTATAGAATACATACTCACAGTAACATTAATTAAGAAACTAGGAGTGATATAATGGAGCAACACACTCAATGGTTTAAGTATATATCCATATATCAGAATACCTATAGAATATACAGTAGTACACAAGAAAAACTTTATATGGCAACAGTTCACCCCTTTTTTGTTATTTTGGGACGTTTCCATGCTTTTTTAGTGGTTAGTTTTCTTATCTTGTTTTATTACAAACAAAGGGCTTAATTTTGCTTGTAGTGTTTTCGAGGGAGAAGAACATTATTTTGCATTTGAACCTTATTTTGGTTTTATTTTTATTAGGGTCTTTTATTCATTTTTGTATTATTTATTTCAGTGTGAATCTGTTGCTGTCATTACAACAGCTGCCCTTAGTTTGAACAGCATTAGGGTATCCACCAAAGCACCACATTTAACAGTGCACATAAGCACAACAGTTTACAATGCACCCAAACACCACTTCCCACCCATACAGCTCTTCCAATAGCTGCAAATAACAGTAGCAACCAAGCCCCATATTATTAGCATCATGTCTGGCAGGCATACAGGAAGAGGCAGAAGTGCCTGTGCAGGGAGCAAGTAGCCTCTGTGTCCACAGGTCAAAACGGTGGACATGGATGTGACGTAACATTTGCAGGCATGGTACATTTGCCATTTCTTACAGGTGTTGGTGTGCTATACAGCCAGAGCATGCAGAGGAGGACATAGAGTGGTTAACCACGCCTTTATTGTCCTCTTCCTCTGTCACCTGGGTACAGACTAGCTCACAAGCTTACAGTCCACTGCAGCTGCCAAGGTGCCCTTATCTGCCTCTTCATCCAAAGCTATTCCTGCCATTGCCCTGCCTGTCACAGAGGAGAATTGACTACAGCATTAGTAATTTTCTGTAAGTGGTGAGTAATTGGAACCTTAGAGGGAAGGAACTCAAGGCAAGGAGAACCAATTGGCAGTAATGTTATTGCAGCTGCAGCATATTGTCAAGTTTGCTCCAAAAATAAGGAGAGAGAGAATGATGAGATCTCTGAACACAGCTGGCTGCCTGATATAGCAGTGGAGCAAAGTGAGGGAGAGGCACACGGCCAGCAAGGCAGGATGCAAATTAGCAAGTGGAAGGAAAAGCCACCCTCTTTCATTGTGCCCTTCATGGGTGCAAGATACTGAGGTCTGCTGTCAGCTCCCCAGAATTCACCTCTGTGGGCCCTTCTCAGTATGTGTACAGCAGACAGTACCATTGTTATTTACAGTTTCTTCCTGCAACATAAAATGCATGGCAATACCGCTGGCCACATGGGTACCATTTGTATGAAGAGACATCTGAGCTCTCACCACGCAGCTCATTTGGAACAGCACTAGAGCGCAAATCATCAGGAAAAGGGTCACACTCCTCCACCTTGTTCCAGATGTTCCCTTTCCACCTCTACCCTGTTTATGCACAAATACCTATCAGAAGTCTCCAGCAACAGGGATGACAGTATGCCAAGGGGTGTCATAGGTTTACCCTATGGTTCCTCCAGTGGTTGCAACCTTCCTCTGATTCTGCCAACCGCAGCTCACCAAATGTAGCATTGAACAGGCAAGTTTCAATTCCCTAGCTGCTAGAATGAAAAACATACAACCCCAGCCATGCCACATGCCCAGCATGTAAATGCCAGCTTGGAAAAACTGATGGCTTTATAAATCCTGCCTTTCCAGCTGGTGGATTCTACCCCCTTTTGGGAATTTGTAGCTTGTGCTGCACAGCAGTGGGAAGTTCCCAGACACAATTTCTTTAGCTTTAAGGACATCCCTGCCCTTCACTATTACATGGAAGGCAATGATTCCACATCGCTGGTCAAAACAGACAGCTCAGCAGCAAAGTTCACAAAACCACAGGCATATGCTCCAGAAAGTATGTGCAGGGAAGTTATATATTATTCATGGTCTACTGGGTGACTCTGCTGGAAACCAGGAAGAATGCAATACAGAGTACAGAGCTGGAACTTGTTCAGCCAACCCAAGGCCTCACAGTTGGTCATGGCAGTGCCAGAGATGTCTCCTCCATCATCTCCTCCTCAATGCCCCCTTCGGCTGATTCATCCTCTGATCCACTAGTCCCCAATAAGTGTTTTCAAGAGGCTATGCAATGGCTCAGGCAAAAAGATACCATGTAGTGCTGCAGCTAGGGGACTGGAGCCATGCTGGGGAATAGATTATTTTTTCATCTCTGCAGGGGAAGGCACTAAAGTGGTTAACTCTATGGTAAATTGTGCCAGGAATGGTGGCATGCCACAATGGCACTAACCTGCTCTCCGCCCTCCAGCAGGTAAACTTGAAACATGTGCCTGACCTGGCACACGTCCTTAATTTGGTGTTGCAGTTGTTCCCGGATATGTATCCTTGGTTTCAAGATTTTCTGAATCAGGCCAATAGAATTTAACCACTTGACCACCAGCAACGTACCCGTACATCGCTGGACTTCCAGTGGTTATTCCAGAATGATGCCTGCAACTGCAGGCATCATCCTAGTATTGTAATCCTATTGTAATAGACCCCAGATCTCTCAATAAAGAGTACCTGTCACTGATTATTGCTATCACAGCGATTGTCCCACACATGTGAGGTATCACTGGCAATGTAAAATCGAAGGCAGTAATTCTAGCACCAGACCTCCAATGTAGACCTAAAGTGTCGCCCCCATGCATAATAACATTTACGTTGTTTGTCGCTGTTGCACAGGCGTGTGCAATTTTAAAGAATGACATCTTTGGTATAACATCATCTCTTAAATTTTACCAAACAGGTATTATATTGTGTTTTTGTGCATTAAAATTAAAAACTGTTTTTCTTTTTAAAAAATTTTCTTAAAAAACAGCTGTGCAAATACTGTGTAACATAAAAAATTGCAACACCCACCACTGAATTCTCCAGGGCCTCTGCTTTAAAAAAAATACATAATGTCTTGGCGTTCTATGTAATTTTCTAACACAAATTACTGATTTTTATATGTAAAAAGAAGTGTCTGAAAAGCCTTGGTCTTTAAGTGCTTAAAACCATTTTGGATGGACCTACCCAGCCAGTATTTGGCTGGGTAAAATTTAGCAGGAATTCCATCTGCCCAGAAAACAACATGATCTGTGATATACCCACCAGATGGAGCTTGCTGCAGCAGCTACATGTACATCAAGGGCCATCAATATGTACCTGTGTGAGTATGGCACATGGACAAGCTGGAGAGAAAGCATCAGGAGGAAGAGGACTTGCATCTCAGAGCCTGCTCTATCCAGGCACTGGCACGGTGAGGCCAGAGCAGGCACAGAAGGGGGAGTATGGTTGCCATAAGGCATTGAGGCTGAAGATGACATGGAGCAGTCTTCCAAGAGTTGGTTTCATGCCTCCCAAACCCCAGCAGTAGTAACTGGCTGTGGAACTGTAGTTCAGAAGAAAGCTCTAGAGCCATTGAAAGGACCTCTAGGATATGTAGCATTAAGAAGTGACAGCATTACTGATTGGAAACCCCCACATTGCAAGGAAAATTTGCAGAGTTCATCCTACCCTCACAGAGGATGAAACTTCTGAAGGATGCACTATGGAGGGACCTTTGTCTCTCATTTCTAGAGGCTGGCAAGATAACATCTCACAGATACAGTGTATCTGAGCCTCCTTTTGATGAAAGGAGGAGCAGCAGT